GGTATCTCCTAGTCAAGCAATCTTGACTGAAGCCTTCTTACTTGTTCGTTTTATTATTTTTTTTTATTTATTATTTAGGGTTAGTTAAATTTGCTAATAAATAAGCGGGCGAAAACATCTCAAATTCGTATTGATTCAACTATGCAAACTGATTAGGGATTTTTCGATTTTCGTTCACCGTGTATGTACGGGGATGAGAGGCAGAATATTTTTGGCGGTTTACCTGTGTAATCGAAAAAAAAAAGAGTCTGGAGTCAAAGCTCTTTTAATGACAATTGATCATTGGCGAGTGGATAGCATTTCATTAGAATACAATGTGTAGTGCGCATTTCTGTTGGCCTTTAAATACGTGCGTGTGTTTGTGAGTATTTATGTTTCTGCACACACACTTGAGGTGGAGGTGAAACTATTTCGACCTGTTCAACAGCTTCCAACTGCCTTGTCTACCTGTGCCTTCTCGCAAACCAACTAGCCAGCCAGTCAGTCAGTCAGTCATTCCAACCTTTATAATTTATTTATTTATAGCTTGAATTACGGTATGGGAGTATTGACCACCAGTGAAAATTTCCAATTTCAGCATATTCACTACAGACAATAGCGCACAATTCAAAACATGATACATGGACCAAAGAAAAAAAACTTACCCTTTGTATTTGAATATGTGTGTACTACTATTTTCAATCAAAATTGGACAACAATTAAATTTTGAAAACATAAACTAGTTCACTGTTTAATAACACTGTTGATGGTATATTATTCAATGCTAATTACAATTATTTTATGATTAGTTGGTGTATCAGGCACATTACTTCTAGCTTATATTGATAAAAATTGATAAATAAATATACATCTTGGTCAATTTAAAAAGTAACTTTAATAAGTTAAGCCAATATCTATCTGTCTAAATACATTCGGATATGACAGAAGCTTTCAAAAATTATCAGCCGTACACTAGCTTAGATTGAAAAATATTAGATAGTTGAATTTAATCATAGTGCACTATACTTTTGTATGATCCATACGCTATTTATGTGACTATAATTATATTACTGATAAATCGGAAAATATGGGAATATGTTTTTTACAAACATTTGGTCAATCATAATTTGGAAGAGCTCTGTAATTGGTTTTTTTTTTATTTTTTTTTATTTAGGCTTCTTGGCTTTTTGGATTCTTGTCTGTCGTAGCGGCAAAAGCTGTTTAAATTTTTTCGCTTGGTAGCAAATATTACGAATTGAAGTAGAATCTAAACTGACGTCTGTCTTTAGCTTTTGATCAAATCTTTACGCACATTTTTCAGTGAGTCTGCATGATGTGTGTTAAGTCAAAAAACCTAAGAGCCGAAATTCATACAAAAAAAACCCAAACCGGTTTATCTGTATCGTTAAATATTCTATTTGATGCTGGCAAATGACAAGATAATCCAAAGTAATCAATCAAAATTATTTTAATTTATAAAGCCACAATAAACTCGTGTCCAGATCGCAATTGCCACGTTCGCGCTAGTCGTCTACATCGAGACTGCTACGATGAACAAACATACATAATTAAATACTAATACAAACATCAAAATATTCGTTATGTACGCAAGCATCTGTTCTAGAAGGCCAATAATTCATAGGCAGATTTCATATTAATTCAATTTAAAACAACGAAAATCTATGAATCTTTAAACATTTATTTTCAGCTCTAAGTAAAATTTATAGTTTGTCTTCATTAATATTTTTAAATACACATGTTAATGAATATTAGGTAATTTATGTCTTGATTATCCGAGTCTAGTGGAATAGTTAGTAAAATGTTGTGTTAATTACCAATAATTCTACCAGTGATATATATATATATATATATATATATATATAAAAAATATTTGAACTTTCAAAAATTTCCCGTCACAACTTTTTTTTCTTCTCAAAAATCTGTTTTGAATTTATAATATAATCACAATCTTTCCAATTTACCACGCCCCAAAGGTGAATGACCTGTTATGGAGAAGCTATTTTTAGATTAGCCACGCTCCCGTAAGCATGGGGTTACACAACCAGAGAAGTTAATTTTTATAGTGTATCCTTAATGTTATTAAAAATCCAAATTAGGTTAGATCTATTCGCCAGTCCTCCAAAAAGAGCACTATGCTTTACATATAATTAAATGCAGAAAAAATGAAATGAATTGTACATCTAGATTTAGTTTCATATTTATATGTAAAATATAAAAAAAATACAGTTTCATTTAAATACGCAATATATGTATATATAAAATTAAATCATAAGAGTTCATAATGTAAAGAACTGCAGCTTGAAAATCGGTGAAAATCATTCCTTTCGTGAATATAACATAAATATGTATATATAATTTACATATGGCCAAACGGGAGCCATGGAATTTTATAAATTTGCAAAAACGAACAATAGGCGCTATGAATAAGAAGACATTAGCAGTGTTCACACACACACACATTATCATTAAAGTCTCTCAACATCCTTCTTTTTCTAAGGATTTGGCAAACCGGATGTTACGATGGCTTGCCATATCAGAAGCCATTCACGGCTTTTGCGACACACAAAAGTCAATATGTTATATTGTATATATGTACATATGCGCGTGTTCGCGTATTAGTGAGTGTACGTATGTATATTTGAAATACTACTGTCATATGTTACGAATAACATAATGTTATGAGTCTACATTAATTCGACTGTTCAAGTATTTAACCTAATGCGAACTGAGCGATGAACACCTTGGTCGAAATAGTGATTTTCACATATTATATATACATTTGTTTGTTATAAATGCTTAAATTTTGTTTGTTTTTTATTTCTATCTTTCGAATTTCGAACTTAAGGTACTAATAAAACTATATACTTTTTGTATGTTTGTTATTTATTTATTTAAATTTTATTTATTTTTATTTTGTTTTTGTGTCTTAGGATCGAAGTTTGAATCAAATATATAAACTCTCCTATATGCAAAATTTTTAACCTAATAACTTAAAGTTGATCTTATTTGAAATGTATTATATTAAAACGGGTATAGGAAACGATTGTTTGAAATAGAACTGATCTATATAAGTATATACAATAAAATTTCAAATATCTACATAGCTCAATTTTAAACATAATAACAACCAAAATAGATGGGTGATCAAGAATATATAAAATCTTTGTTCCCATCTGTTACTAAAAGTTAGAGAAAAGTATCAGTTGATGTATAAAGAAATGGATATAAAACTATGAAATTCATAGAATTCCATAATATTCATTTTAAAATTCAATTGAATCACATTCATTCAGTCTAATATTCATCCAAAATCATGCACTCCATACCATATAAGGTATGTATACACATATGTACATACATGCTTCCATATTTACTTTTCTTATGCTTAACCCTGGCTGGCGAATGCAAAAAACTTCCGAGCCGTATGACGGGCACTTCGACGACTACGCGACTCAGCGCTGTTCTGGCTACGCTGCTGCTGCCCTTTCAACACACAGTCGCGACTCGCGACCAGTTTTCATTTCGCTTTTGGCATTCACAGACTGTTGTAGCTGTTGCTGCTGCTGTTGCTGTCGCTGCCGTCGTCGTTGTTACTTCGTCGTCGCCGTCGGGACCGAGTTTGAATTAATTTCTAGACTTTCCTTCTGTAGTTGAACTTGCTTATAAAATATTTGGTGATTTTCATAACACAAAAGTAAAGTGCAACATAACATTCTGAGAGAAGATGATATGGTGGACTATTGTTAAAATAATGTGTTCGTTGTGTGTATTGTTGTTCATTGAGTGATCCAATCGAAGTAGACATGTTTACCGGATCTCGTTCTCAATAGATTAAAGTTACAATATGATATCATGACTCTATCTTATGTGGATATGCCCGCCGTAATTGAAATTCAGGTTAGTAACGTAGGAAAGCTGAACCTGAACTTCTCTCGAATGGCGCCATGCGGAAAGACCGGCGGTAATATTCCTTAATGTGCGTTCTACTCGAAATTAGATGTTGGGGCAATACAATGATGATTTAAAATAAATGCAAGCTACAGCTCCAGCAACAGTTATGTGTAATCAATCTACAATGTACAACAATTACTCGAAGATTTTTGTTTTTGTTAGTTTATGTAATTTTTGTGATCTAAATCAAATTGTTCTTAATATTGACTCTGTTTAGGGAGAATGTCATCTGTTATCCATTAAATTCTATATTTGTAACTTCACACAGATCCTTACGTCTAGTTCAAGCCTTTGTTCATGATGCTATGTTTCAAGTTTTTAATTGAAATGATAATTATAAAAAGAAAAAAACAGTGGTTAGAAGAATGAAAAAGAAAAAAAAAACAACAACAACGCGGGATAAGTTTATTTGCCAAAACAAATTAATTTGAATATGAAATATGTATCTAAAAATAAAAATAAATAAATAAATAAATAAAAGATGTATGTATACTTGCGATATTTCGTAGTGGCGTTCTTATATTTGACTGGTCACATTTGAAGTAAACCAATAATATAAAAATCTTAAAGGCTTTATTCCATACATTTTTAAATGATTAAATGCTACAAATATTTCTGAACATCATCATCTTTTTGTCCTCTCTCTCTGTCTTATTTTATATAAATTATGTAATGGACTAAGTCTTTCTATCAAAAGAAAATTTTAATTCCTAAAATATATTTTTTATTTTTAAATCAGCAAGAATAAAAATAAAAGCAAGCGGATAAGAATTGTATTTTATAATATATAAGTAATTACTCAGTAAAGCCATAAAATGTAAATATTGCTTAAGCATTGATATCACAAACCAAGCAAAAAAGCTTTTAGAAATGCAATTAATAATAATAATAATCTTATAATAAATAAATAAAACAAGCCTTTATTGAGTTCCTATTTCTTAATTATATACATTTCGGATAGGGAAGTCTTTGTCTGTCATAATTACACATATAAATTGTTTGTGAGTTGTGCTAAACTTTATTTCATTGAAATTTTACTTGGAAAACAGGAGCGCCTTAGTGGTCATGGCAGCTTGGGCCTTTCCAGCAGCAGCCCGGCTTATACAACTCATTCAGGAGGGCATTCGGGCCGAGGTCCCACATCCGGACACAGTGGACATAGTGGTACCCATGGGTCGGCAGCAACCATGCATCACCAATCATTGCAGTCTGATTTTCAGCCCCCGTATTTTCCACCACCTTTTCATCACTCTGCTCAGAGCCCTCCCCAGCAACAGGTAAGTGCTCCAAATTGGACGGCGTACCAGTTGGACGTATCATTGCCAAAATAGTTTAGATATCTGGCTATTTACAGAATCACGGACCGTTGGAGTACTTAGGCACGGATCCCTACGGCCAGCCCCTATCCTCATTGCACCACGCCCCACTTCATCACTACAACCAGTTGGCTGGCCTCAGGTCGACACAAGATCAACTGGGTATTCATAGGACTCATAGGGAAGACTTGCAAGGACATGTTGTAAGTATTAAGAGTAAAACATACTATAAGCTAATGTACCCCAATCAAGTGTCAGTTATATCAACTAATAATTTTTCGTTCTCATATACATAAAGCTTCAAGTTTATTTTAAATATATTACATATTATTTATTAGCTGTGCATCATATATGTATGTATGTGTTCAATTTATAACTATGTAAATATACTGAGGGCTAAGCAGCTGAAAATCTCTTCAATCTACATGAATTGCCAGAGTTATGGCATTTCGAATTCCAGTTAAGTGCATTATGAAATAGAACGCAACAAAAGCTAAGAAGTATTTTAAAAATTTCCTTGGGATTTCACTGAAACATCTTGAAAATAACAACGAACATTCCTGTCCCAAAAGAAAAAGGGTTTACATAAATACACATACACATACCCACGAATTTACGCAAGAATATATATATATATATATATATGTATATATATATATATATATACATATATATATATATATATATATATATATATATGTATGTATGTACGGTGCACTCACACACTCGCACACTTCTGCGTGTTTTGAACGAACTGGGCTTTTGCAACCACGGCCGAAGCATTTGCAACGTTAATGTTGACGTTGACGCTGTAACTAAAAGGCGTTCCCCCGTAGAGCTTGTGCGCATACACGCATAAAAAGCAAAAATACACGACTGTCTAAACACTGGGATTGGCGCAGAGCTAAGCTGTTTCAACCCTAGGCACGGTGAGGGGAATGGTCTACCCAAAATTTTGATCAACGATTTTAATTGATTTTATTTTACTATACAAAGTGCTTGTAAAATTTCCAGCCTTAACAATATATACTTAATTTTCTTAGCCAATAAAAATATGATTAAATATTCAGTAAAAATGTAGCTAAATAATTCAAGTGATAAAAGCTATAGTTTGAAAATCTTAAGATTACCCTCCATAAAGAGATATATGTAATATGACAATCCTCTCTATTGTTGAAATTTTATAGACTCAGTTGTCTCACGGCTTTCCATATACGGAACGAAGAAGCGATTACGGCAGTGCAATATCAGCCGGAGCAGCGCATGGAACAAGACTCGGACATGAACATGAATCTTTGGCCTTACATCAAGCGCTGCAGAATGCCGTTGATGATGTCCAAGCACCTGCCCTGGATGAGAATGTGGCGTTCATGTCAGACTTACCTCTAATAAAAAGTAATTTCATTTAAGGACACTAAATGGTTTGCAAACAAGTGCTTGAAAAGAGTATATTGGTTTAATGCAATGGACATGTTTTTTATATGAACGAAATGCATTTATTATTATCACCTTTTTTAATTAGAGTAGGACTTCTAATAACCAGACCAGATTATGTCTGATGTACCTGTGGCTACTTAGCCTATTGTTCTTCGAAGTTTCACACGAGGGGATGAAAAATAGCATCAGTTTATTGTCAAGTGCAATATGCATACTCTGGTTATTATAAAAACCAAAAGATAAATTTACAATTTCTTGCAATTTTCCATGAATAAAGGAAATACAAAATTTGAATTTAACGTTATTAGCCTCGCAATCGTTCCATTAAAATTGCCGTTAAATACAACGCTAAAAACAAAATTTGTACAGTTTTTCGAATATTGCATTTATATTGTGATTGGTGTTTGGTAGATGTATGAATGCTATTAAATTTCATATACTAGAGAGCGAGCCTTCCTGTAGATTAAAAAATAGGCGGAGTGAATGGGGCGGTGCCACAAACATTCCAAAACAACTATGCCATCAACCCCTAAACTGCATAAATATGATGTGAGTGTATGATGAAATAGAAGCTAGCTCCTCTAATTGGCAGGATTATTGTAAAATGATCCCTACACGCTGAGTTCACACTTGGATTGCAAAACATTAACACAATGAATAATTTTTCTTTTACAATGCGCAATGTACATTTATACAGCATTCTATTCATACTAACGTTTTTGTATTTGATAAACCAACGCGTTTCGACACAGGCATGAAAAGTGGGAAGGAAGCTGGAAACCTTGGCTCTGGATCGCCTAGTGAGGTGTTTTGTGCAGTTCCAGGTCGACTTAGTCTTCTATCAAGTACATCGAAGTATAAGGTCACAATTGCCGAAGTCCAACGCAGACTGTCACCGCCCGAATGCCTAAATGCATCGTTACTTGGCGGGGTGTTAAGAAGGTCCGTTTTCTCCAAGCTTGTTCAATTTGCAAATTTCTAATAATCGATAAATATATTTTCAATAAAGAGCAAAGAGCAAAAATGGAGGCCGCCTTTTGAGGGAAAAGCTTGAGAAAATCGGTCTGAACTTACCGGCGGGACGACGAAAAGCTGCTAATGTCACACTGCTAACATCTTTAGTCGAGGGAGAGGCAACACACTTGGCCAAAGATTTTCACTTTGTTTGCGAAACTGAGTTTCCAGCCAGACAATTGGCTGAATATATTGTACGGCATCAGACAGAACCCCAGGATTCATATCGACGAAAAGAAATTATACTTCACTCACAACAAGTATGTTACTACTAAATAATCAATAAGAGTTTTTCCATTATTAAGTTCTTAAAATTAAAAAATTACAATGCCTATGCATGTAGATAGCATATTTAACAAACATGTAAGAAATCTTTAACAGGGTACATACATACATATAACAAGAGATTAGAAAAGACATCTAGTTGGGGTACCCGACTGGGCGATTGCATGAACTCCAAATGATTAGGATTTTGAAATAAACGCATTGCATACGGTGTTCATAAACACAAACAAATCTACACATTTAATATACACATTTAAACATATACATATATGGATGTGTGCAGCAGCATAGAAAAACGTGGGTGTTTGAATTTATTCGACCACACGACATACATATGTATGTATGTGTATATAGGAAAAATATTGTACGTTTTTCAGCGCTACTTGCCACGAGCGGCTACTAATTGGCCAAAGTTTTCTTTTAAATAAATCTACGTTTTCTATTGAATATTTGACTTTTTATGAAATATGACATTTGATTCAAATGATTATATTTAAAACTGAGCTTCAAAAATTTAACAAATTAAAAATTGTATAAAATACACATAATTTGGAGATATTTTAATAGGGTATTTAAAGTAAATAAAGTAAGTAAAGATTTCCGCGTGGTATACAAGGAGCTCTTATCGATTCATTCGTTGCCCTGATCAACGATAAACTACCTATTCGGTAAATATCAGACTACAGAAAAAACAAAAACAATTAAGAAAGCTGTAGTCCAGACAGCCCGACTACGAGATCCCCTGAACCCTTCAAGTCTCTAGCTCTAATTCTACATTCAAAATCGAAGCCCAAGTTTACTACAAGGTCGGTTAATTGCTACCAATGCCAAAAGAAACGTATAAATTTTTATAAATTTACTTTATATATAATTTAATTAAATAGCTAAACAGCTAAACTATTCAGCTAATCATTATTTCTATGTTTATTTTTGTAATTTTGGTTATTTTTGATTATTTTTATTTCATTAATCATTTAACTTTTTTTTGAACCCTGAACCTGAACCCATTGAAAATTGGAAATCAGGGTATAATGGGTTTGTTAAATGTATGTAACAGGCAGAAGGAGACGTGGCAGGCCCCATAAAGTATATATATTATTGATCAGGGCAACGAGCTGAGTCGATTTAGCTCTGTCCGTCTGTCTGTATGGTTGAACGCGCCGTTCTCAGAAGATATAAGAGCTAGGACTTGAAATTTTTTCCCTAGGTCGATAACTTGCCCCGTTATTTTGTTATCGATTAAAAACATTATCGAAAAATTCGTTATTCTCTAAAAGTTCTTTAATTTCGGAACTGCACAATTTTTTTTTTATCTAAATCAGTAAGTAATGATTGATATTTAGTCATGCTCTCATAGAAATATGTGGGTGAGGGGATGAACGACTGTAGCTTTAAAGATATAGCAGATATAAATTTATTACTGAATTTCGATAATTATTTTAATCGATAATAAACTAACGGGACAAGGTATCGATTTTTAAAATCGATCCAAAAATCGATAACTGTTACCGTTATTTTATAATCAGGGAGACTGAGTTGGGCTATATATCCGTCCGTAGGTATGAATGCATCGATCTCAGAAGGTCCGTGTATGTCACGCGCATTCGATACTCGAGTTTTTCTCCCAAAATCGATAACTACTCCCGATAGATTTGTTATCGATTAAAGACCTTATCGAAAAATAGTAATTAAATTATATCTCCAACACCTTTAGAGCTACCGTCTCCAAACTATAATAGATGGGAATCCATCGATGCAACTTTTGGGCTTTACAATTTGCACAGGCAGCAAGAGTTGCGCACATAGCTTAAATGCACACAAGTGCTCAAGCAAGTGTTTGTGTGCATGCCCGTCGCGAAATCATATTCTTTATGCGCCTCTACGCTTTCATACCCTTCCTAGAAATAATCATGAAAACGCTAACATTTTGTATGAGGAAAGGAAAAGGAAAGAGCTGGGATCGTCGCGAACAGTTTTAAATTTTTTTGGCGCTGCTGCTATTTGAGAGACCATAGAGAGAGAGCATAAATAGAGGGAGAGAGTGAGTAAGGGAAAAACAGCGCATAACCGTACTTCATTTGGGAACGTGTTTATTTCGTGGCAACGGTCGCAGCGCACTGATTTTATCGTGCCTTATTTTCACTGCTTGAACCTCAAAAGACCGAGCCGAGCAAATACGAAGTTGTCTGGTCTCTTCAACGCATTTTTTTGTCGTTGAAAAAATTTGTTCTAGATTTCTAGTCTATGTGTTCTCTGGTTAGGGGCCATACGCAGTATGAGTTAATAATTTTTTTTTTCGATATCTCATCCGATTACTTTTTTATCGAGAATAATATTCATACTATTAAATCTATATACTTTTAGACCTAGAGACTTCATATTTACTTCGTATCGTAATTTACAGATTTTGCATACCACAACCCCTTTGGCCCCAATTCGAAAAAAAAACTATTTAGGTACTAGAGACTTGTTCTTCGGAATATACCCATAAATTATCATAAATATATATCCCACACTGCAGCGCATCCCTCGTGCAGTGGCTGTTAACTGCAAATTTTACAGAGCTCGTGCTTACGTGCGTGTGGATGTATGTATAAGTGCATGTATTTTGTATGTGTGTATAAAAGTGTAGAATGGTAGGAATATCAGTTCTATGCAAGGCTTAGAGGATCTACTAGTCGAGCAGTTTCGACTAGAGACAGCACTCGTACTTGTTATTTACTTAATTTCTTTAAATTTCTCCAATTTTGTTTGATAAAGTAGCGAGCACACCAAGCAAGCGACAAAAGCAAGATGCTCCAATATTTGTATACCGCAAAAACTACAATGGGAACATGAAAATAATAATATATAAACCTGTTAAATAGAATGTTAAATTCATGGCTAAAGGGTATTAACAAATATGATAGACTAGATTACTTTCAAATATTGTAAAATTTTTGTTGCTGATAACTGTTAACGAAGCAATTGAGCGAAGTCACCAAAAAGCTAATAACTATTAATTATATCTTTTGAGTAGAGAAATACTACTAATCAAATTGACAAAAAATTTGTTGGTCGGCTTGAATCATTTTTTGCGGCTACTAGAGCTCAAAAAGTTTATTTTATATTGTTAAAATAAACAAGTAAGAAGGCTCTAGTCGAGACTGCTCGACTAGGAGATACCCTAAACCCTCTAAGCTGATATTCTAATCATTCTGCACTTCTTTTATGCACACATACATACACAGGCATCCACACGCACGCAAATTAGGCTAAAAACCCAAAACCAATTTTTCGATTATTCTCGATAAAAAAGTTGTCGGATGATTTATCAAAAAATAAAGCAAACTCGTACTGCGTACACACGAGTATGCATGCCAAATTTCAGCTTTCTACCTCTTATAACTTCTGAGATCGACGCACTCATACGGACGAACGGACGGACGTACGGACGGACATACGGACAGGGCTATATCGACCCAGCTCATCGCGCTGATCAAGAATATATATACTTTGTGGGGTCTGCCACGCCTCCTTCAGGTTATAAAAATAATGGCACCCGTATGAAGAAGCCTTTCAGCACAGTCTGCAATGCTTTCGGGATATGTAACCTTCGCTAGCTATGAAGATTTGGTTCCTGTTAACAGAGCTATAATTAACAACAAAAACTTTGGATGTCCTAACTAAGCATGCTTACCCTCTGGAAATAATTTAATTGACGAGTCCGTATTCATTTTCACATTTCAGTAGGTCAACGCCCCGTGTCATTAGGTCAAACAGATAATGCAGGTTTTTGAAAGTCTCTAAAGTCCTCCTTTGATTCGCCACCTCAAAGCCAAATCTCAACATAATAGAAAACCACTAGTTATACATAACCAAAAAGAACCTAATTTAAATAGAAAAAAATATAAATAGAGTTAATGAGCATTGCCAAAAATGAGGTGCTATTGGGACTTGAAATTTGGAATATATACTTACATTGGCAACAGAACATCAAAAAGATATGTCGAATATACTAAAGCTATATCTAAAAAGATAGATTTAACGTTGGAACTGAACGACCAAATTTCTGCTGCTTTTATATAATTTGTTATGTTCCAAAGCTACCTTTTAATATATATATATATATATATATATATATATATATATATATATATATATATATATATATATAAAGCATGTTTGATAAACCATGTGTATGTACAAATGAAATTACTGTAACAAGTATTTTCTAGCTGGGCCTAGAGAACTGTTTCTTACTTATATATGATATTTTAATCGAAATATACACAAATTGAAGTAATATGATATCTTTATAATATTCCAGATTACAAAAGAATTGATGCAAATATTGAGTCAGGATCGAACCACTCATTTTGGGACAAGATCACAGCATTTGTTGGAGCCTTCAATGCAACGGCATTTAACACACTTTTCCCTAATAACGCATGGATTCGGTTCCCCTGCAATTATTGCTGTGCTACATGCTTTTCAGGTAAATGAACTATAAATATATTAAACATTCTAGCTATTTGCCTTTCTTGAGTTCCGATTTATTAGCTATAATTATACTCATTCACGAAAATAAATTAATAGATTGGTTTTATGCAATGTCCGTCTTGCTGTCCGTCCGTATGAACGCAGTTTATTTCGGCGCTATTGAGGCTACAGACTTGATATCGGAAAATGCATTTTCTGATATGCCAGAAATCATATTAGTTGAATAGCTAGAATGCAGAAATTTGGAATGTAGGTCCGCCTCGACCACCCAAGATTAAGAGCTATGGCGCCCATTGGGGGCGTGGCAAATCGGATAAAACTGTATCTCCAAGAGTTTTACAGCTAGAACGCTGAAATTTTGCACGTAAGCTAATGCTATGATTCTATAAAGTTTAATTACAATTACAATACAATACAACAAATATGTCTACGCCCGTTAGGGGCGTGGCAAATCAGACCTGAAAATATAGTGATTTTTTAAATTCTGCTATATTTTGGACACTATTGATGCTAGAGACCTTAAATTTTGTATATATACTCGAGCTGACTACCCAAGACCATCGAAAAATACCCTTTAATTTTCACATTTTTTGAACGCAAGCATTAAAATTTTGCAGTTAGGGTACCGTTAGCTCGCTTTAAGAACTGACTAAAAATGAGGTGTCTACGCCCAGTAGGGGCGTGGAAAATCGGGAAAAACTTAATTTTCTACAATACTTAGCTACTAAATTGCTGATGGGATGTGAATGAGTATTCCGCAGTTGGTTTAATTAATTTAATTACTATTTATCTGCAAGTTTAGAGTCTATTGGCATAGTGCTTTAGTAAAAATGTTTAATAAGTTAATAAATAAATAATTTTATTTGCAGACGTTTCTTAATGAATCTCTTAATTATTTGGAAAAACTATATCCTTCAAATGGAGGCGGAATGGTATCTTCATCTCTGGATAAAAGTAAACTTGACAACGATAAAAAATGATAGACTACACTGTAACAAACACGCTACTCGTATTTAAATAAAAACCTTTAATACAAAATTAGGTACAATATCTATTTTAATAAGTACTAAATTATTGTAAATGTATTTAGTTTAGTGTAAATTAATGAAAATTTGTAAAACAGTAATTTTAAAGTACGTATTAAAAGGATATGTGCACACACATTATGGTATTATGATTTCTTTAAAATTTGAAATGAAAAGAAAAGGAAAATCAATGTGTTTCCGTCAAAAGACACAAAGGGTTTTAAAACAATTTAATTATTCGGGCTATACTTTTAAGTAATCTACTTTTTAAATATTTTAAATCTATACAAAGAAATAAAAATATGTTTTTAAAACAATCTAAACGTTTTTTTATACCCTGAACCCATTGAAAATGGGAAATCAGGGTATAATGGTTTTGTGAAAAAGTATGTAACGGCCAGAAGGAGGCGTGGCAGACCCCACAAAGTATATATATTCTTGATCAGCGCGACGAGCTGAGTCGATATAGCCCTGTCCGTCTGTCCGTCCGTCCGTATGAGTGCGTCGATCTCAGAAGTTATAAGAGCTAGAAAGCTGAACTTTGGCATGCATACTCGTGTGTACGCAGTACGAGTTTGCTTTATTTTTTGATAAATCATCCGATAACTTTTTTATCGAGAATAATCGAAAAATTGATTTTGTTTTTTTAGCCTAATTTGAGCACTTTTAGACCTGGAGTCTTCAAATTCGCGTTGTATATAAAGTTAATCGATACAAAGATTTTGTAATTTACAGATTTTGGATACCACGACCCCTTCTCCCCCTTTGTAAAAAACGCATTTCAAGTACTAGAGACTTGTGCTTTGGAATGTACACACATATTTACCATATGATTACGCTCTCTTTCATTAAGATCGTATGTCTACAAAAGAAATTATTCAACAACAAAATTCTCATAATTGCCCACACTGCAGTGCAGCCCAAGCGCAGTTAGCAGAGCGTAGGCTTATGCGTGAGTGTGGATGCATGTGTATATATGTGTGCATAAAAGAAGTGCAGAATGATTAGAGTCTCAGCTTAGAGGGTTCAGGGTATCTCCTAGTCGAGCAGTCTCGACTGGAGCCTTCTTATTTGTTTTGTATACAAGCATGGAATTTATTTTTGAGTTTATTTGCTAAATAATAGAGCATCAATATGTTAGGTTAGGCCTATAGTATACTGGCGTAAAAGAGAGAGAGGGTCGAAGCATTCTTTTGGGGATCTTCGATCAAAAGTTGCAAAGGAAGATCATGGTGAGGTTGGGTGAAGACAGCGTGAAGACAGCGTGAAGCCAACACCACCTCGGCTTCCACGTCTGTCTAACTGTCCGTGTTAGTTTCATTTCTTGTCCTCATGTTTGTACTAGTGCCGTCTAAAGCCTATGTTACATGTCAAGGAATCCTAAAAATTTTAATTTTTGTATATATGGTCACGGTGTGGCGAAACCCACCCCCACGCCGACAGAATTAATGGGAACAAGTAAGAACGTTGCATCGGGCGTTACCGACTGCGGAATACTCATTCACATCCCATGAGCAATTTAGTAGTTAAGTTTCGCTCTAATACTGTAGAAAATGAAGTTCTTGCCACGGACCTACTGGGCGTATACACCTCATTTTTGGTCAGTTCTTAAAAAGAGATAACGGTACCCTAACTGTAATATTTGAATGCTTACCCTCAAAAAATGTGAAAATTACAGGGTATTTTGGGTGGTCAGCCCGAGTATATATACAAAATTTGAGGTCTAATAGTGTCTAAAATATAGCAGAATTAAAAAAATCACTTTATCTTCAGGTCCGATTTGCCACGCCCCCACGCCCTGATAGCAGTGTTTATTCGCCTTCATCATACGACGACACGTTCCATTACAAATTTGAATACTATTAGACTTGGAGACTTCAAATTTTACTGTGTATATACATTTATTGAATACGAAGATTTTAAAATTTAGAGATTTTGAATTTCGCCACCAAATTGTAAAAAAAAAAAAAAAAAAAAAAAAAAAACGTATTTTCAGTATTAAAGAAATGTACATACATTTTAGCTTTATGATCACGTTCAGAAAGTTTCATGAAGATAGTCCTAATACAGGAGAAATTATTCAACAAAACTGCTGCGCAGCCCATGCCACCGCTTACTGCGCAGTTAGCAGAGCGCGTGCTTATACGTGATGGTTAGAATATCAGCTTGAAGGATTCAGGATATCTCCTAATTTGAAAGATCGAATCTCCAAATTTTTAGCATACGTTAGTTGAACTAATATAGATTTTCGCATTTTTATTTTTTTGGTTAAACAGCAAATAAGCACGACTGTATTTGCTAAATTTCTGCTGTTAAAAGACACTAACAAGAATTGCACTTACGCAACTATAGATTCACCTTTACGATTGTATATGTATGTATAGCTCAATCTAACCCCAAATGGCACTCCAATTTCTGATGAAAAGTATATAGAATTTTTTTAAACGGGATTATTTTTATCTTATATACATATATGCAATAATATTGGTTTGTAAGGAGAAATATTATGATCGGAAATCAGGGTATAATGGTTTAGTTAAATGTATGTAACATGCAGAAGGAAGCATGCCAGGCCCCATAAAGTAGGATGTCCGTTTGTATATACCACGAGTAAATAGAGTTTGTTTCCAGAAATTGATAACTAATCCCATTATTTTTGAAGAACCCAATTAAATTTTGCTTTTTTGTTATAATCTACACGCTTATTTCTTCCACGCCCATTGAGTGCGTGGCAAATCGGATAAAACTGAATCTCTTAAAGTTTCAAAGCTAGAACGTTAAAATTTTGTACGTGATTTAACGTTATGGTTCTATAAAGAAACAAGTAAGAACGTTGCAGTCGGGCGTTACCGACTGCGGAATACTCATTCACATCCCATCAACAATTTAGTAGTTAAGTTTCGCTCTAATACTGTAGAATATACAGGTTTTTCCGATTTGCCACGCCCCAACTGAGCGTAGACACCTCATTTTTGGTCAGTTTTTAGAAAGAGATAACGGTACCCTAACTGCAAAGTTTGAATGCTTAACCTCAAAAAATGTGAAAATTACAGGGTATTTTTCGATATGCCACGCCCCTAAAGAGGCGTACAAATTATTTTTGGGGAATCGATAGAGGAGGCTACCAGTAACTCAACTATCCAAATTTAAAGCTTCTAGCTATTATACTTTAGGAGATATAAACTTTTGTGGTTTGCATATATCCGACAAAACTTTTTGGTCGAGGGTGATCAGTCCGAGTATATATACAAAATTTGAGGTCTCTGCCATCAGTAGTGTCCAAAATATAGGAGAATTTAAAAAATCACTATATCTTCAGGTCCGATTTGCCACGCCCCCAATGGGCATAGACTTATAATTTTATCTTTAGACTTTATAGAGTCATATCATTAGCTGACGTGCAAAATTTCAGCATTCTAGGTTTACAACTTTAGGAGATACAGTTTTATCCGATTTGCCACGCCCCCAATGGGCGTAGATATATCCGCCATAGCTCGTGATCTTGGGTGGTCAACGCGGACCTACATACCAAATTTCAGCTTTCTAGCTCTTTAACTAACATGATTTCTGGTATATCGGAAAATGCATTTTCCGATTTGCCACGCCCCTAGAGGGCGGATCGGGAAAATTTTAACACTTTATAAATCGGAGATATACACGAGTATGTGTTCCAAATTTCAAGTCTCTAGCTTCAATAGCGCCGAAATAGATTGCGTTCATACGGACAGACGGACAGACGGACAGACGGACGGACGGACAGACGGACAGACGGACGGACAGCAAGACGGACATTGCACAAAACCAATATACTGATTCACTTTCGTGAATGAGTATAATGATTCACTTTCGTGAATGAGTATAAAAATTATATGTCTACGCCCACTAGGGGCAAATCAGACCTGAAGACAAAGTTATTTTCCAAATTCTGTTTTATTTTCGGCAGTATTAATGCTAGAGACCTCAAATTTGTATATATACTCGGGCTGCTATTCGGGGCGGAGACAAATCCAACAAATCAAAAACCATAAGTGTTGTAACAAACCCGACTTATATAGAGACTTTTAGGCGGTACGAAGTTCACCGGGTCAACTAGTATGTGCATACACGTTTGTATATTTTTTATTGCCCAGTGTTATTGCTGATTATATTTTTAGCAAAAAATCTAACAATTTTAATTGTGTTCCTTGGCAAATAAAAACATGCAAATAATAATGGTAAGTTACTAGGCAATATGTCTTGTTTATGGTATTAAAAACCTTTTTTGCTCGGTTTTGCTCCTTAAAAACAGATGCACTTAAAGTTACCTCTGCGTTCACCAACTACACGCTTTTTATACTCATTCACGAAAGTGAATCAGTATATTGGTTTTGTGCAATGTCCGTCTTGCTGTCCGTCCGTCTTGCTGTCCGTCCGTCCGTCTGTCCGTCTGTCCGTCTGTCCGTATGAACGCAATCTATTTCGGCGCTATTGAAGCTAGAGACTTGAAATTTGGAACACATACTCGTGTATATCTCCGATTTATAAAGTGTTAAAATTTTCCCGATCCGCCCTCTAGGGGCGTGGCAAATCGGAAAATGCATTTTCCGATATACCAGAAATCATGTTAGTTAAAGAGCTAGAAAGCTGAAATTTGGTATGTAGGTCCGCGTTGACTACCCAAGATCACGAGCTATGGCGGATATATCTACGCCCATTGGGGGCGTGGCAAATCGGATAAAACTGTATCTCCTAAAGTTGTAAACCTAGAATGCTGAAATTTTGCACGTCAGCTAATGATATCACTCTATAAAATCTAAAGATAAAATTATAAGTCTATGCCCATTGGGGGCGTGGCAAATCGGACCTGAAGATATAGTGATTTTTTAAATTCTCCTATATTTTGGACACTACTGATGGCAGAGACCTCAAATTTTGTATATATACTCGGACTGATCACCCTCGACCAAAAAGTTTTGTCGGATATATGCAAACCACAAAAGTTTATATCTCCTAAAGTATAATAGCTAGAAGCTTTAAATTGGATAGTTGAGTTACTGGTAGCCTCCTCTATCGATTCCCCAAAAATAATTTGTACGCCTCTTTAGGGGCGTGGCATATCGAAAAATACCCTGTAATTTTCACATTTTTTTAGGTTAAGCATTCAAACTTTGCAGTTAGGGTACCGTTATCTCTTTCTAAAAACTGACAAAAAATGAGGTGTCTACGCTCAGTTGGGGCGTGGCAAATCGGAAAAACCTGTATATTCTACAGTATTAGAGCGAAACTTAACTACTAAATTGTTGATGGGATGTGAATGAGTATTCCGCAGTCGGTAACGCCCGACTGCAACGTTCTTACTTGTTTATATTTGGAACAACAACAACCACAGACGAATAACCTTTATTATATATTAACAATAATATAGTGTGAGTTCTCTTTAACCCAGAAAAGTGTCAAAGTTTTGCAGATTTTTTTTAATAAGGGGGCTAATAAAGGGCGTGGCACAATTTAAGAGAAAAAAATCTGATATTCAAATAAAAAAAAAAAATTACGCTTCTAGCTTTATTTTTAGACTTTATGCCGCCAAAATCGACAAATCGCCCATAGTGGACTGGTCGAAAATGAGGTGACTACGCCCAGTAAGAGCGTGGCAAATCGAGAAAAACTGCATATTCTTCAGTATTAGAGCTAAACTTAGCTACTAAATTGCTAATGGGGGTGAATGCGTATTCCGCAGTTGGTAACGCCCGACTGCAACGTTCTTACTTGTTTTTCATTTGAGTACTCTAAACTTATCATATATCCATTGATTGATGATCGTAGGTAAACTGAAAAATGCATCATGAGTTGCCGTGCAGCGGTTAATTCTTTTCAGCAGCCAGTTCCTTTCCGCGGTCAGATGGATGAAATCATTGACCATTCGAATGTCAAAATCGATGGAGGAGCATGTTTCACATATTGAAAGGAGCATTTTAGAGATTTTATATTTTTATAAGAAAAATTACACAGGGTTATTTATAAACAGGATTTAAGCAAATAATAAAATATTTTATTGGATCCCCCATATTCCAGATATATACTTTATAAAACCCAATACACCTATCATATTAATTGTTTTCGAACAAATATTATTGTTGAATTTCATAATTTCTTCCTGTGAAAACAGCGGAGAAATAGTTTTTCATGATTCATGCTCTTTTTTTAGTTCTTCAAGAATGTCCAGACTATAATCATTAGAATTAAGTAAATGATAGCTTTAAGGATTTGATGCTGCCAATACAAACTGTGAAGGAATAATATTAATATTTCATGGTAGCTCATAAAAGTGAATAGAAACATTTTTACCGATTCCATTTAACTAATGCTTTTGGTATGGTTTCCAATGGATCTTTTAACAAGTACTTGCGTATGCCACGAAAATATTGCTGAAGATAAAAATCCCAATCCAATTGGCGCATATCAAAGAAGAATTCGGTCTTATCAATATTCGACATTCGACTCCAAAGGCTCTGAACATTATCAATATGAAAGTCCCAATCACGAGTGGAGAAATGGGAAATCACATTTATGAATTTATGTATCTTCTTATAAGTATTAAGTAATCTGCAATTTATGTAATTAATATTACGTAATTAAAAAGGTATACATTGACATACATACACATATATCTGCACTTACCGTGGCTCTTTTCCAATGCACAAACAAAAAAAGTCAATGAAAAGCGCAGGTAAATAATGGAGTAAACATATGGAAAGCATATGGGATACTTTGTTAGTGGTATTCGAATAGCTCAGATACCAAATTGCTTTTGATGTTGGGTACATTAGACCATATTTTGTATTCTTTGTTGTGAACTCGCCCCAAGTTAACTGATTCTCGTTGGGTGTGCAAAAGTTATACACCGGTATATCTGCCAAACATTTTTTAGCACTGGAATGATAGTTGTTGAATGTAAGAATATCATAGATACATAAATCAATGAAGATCGATTTAGTTTCGCAAAACATTACTTGTGCCTTTCATATATATCCCATGAAGCAGCTATCATGCTGTTTACGCAGAAGTCCACTGGAACCATGTTCGCTAGGGCTTTTGGATTGCACTGTAATGTGCGTATCAACTATAAGAGAATATTTTTACATTAATTTCTTATTATTGCTAAAAATGAATAATAACACAATATAAAGCATACCCCAGTGCCTGCTCCGGCTATTGCTCCAGTTGGCCCATAAAAGTTATCTATCCAGCCGCTCACTGGTTCTTGATATGTCGATATTACTAGCAAAAAATCAAATCATAAACAGTATATAGTTGGAAATGATAACAGTTTTAATAAAAAATATATGAAGAAGCATACCAATACCAGGACGAAAAACGCCAACAGGAAGTATACCTGTGTAAACTCGAATGACGTCCTCAGCAACGGCTTTTGTAAAGGTGTACGTATTTGGCCATTTTCCCAGTAGACTGCAATGGAACAATATTTTTTGAAATTTTTGATAATAGGACGATACAAATGAATGAAATCTTATTAACCAAAATTCAAAATTATATTATTACCAAGAATCGGACCTTAAACTAAATTACTATTTAGATCTTTACCTTAAAGATTTAAGTAAAATCCTTTCGAATTAGCAGGAGTCTTGGTTAGTAAATCCAGCTGTATTACTTTATTGTTCTTTATAGAATTGTTGGCAATGAATCAACGCTACTTTATTGATTAAATAGGATACTTAAAAATATAATTATCGAATGGCAATTGTCATTTTAGCAAAATTAAATTGACTATGTATGAATTAGTTTAAATATGAATTAATATAAGACTAGTATAATTTTGCAATTTATAATATAATTACATGGGTGTTACATAATCCAAGAGCTTATCGGGTATATACTCAGCCATTAGCATTAAACTTTTGGGATTATTCTGGGTCGAATATAACTTTTCTTCAATCGTTCTTCGAGGGCAATGTGTGTACGCCGTGGATACGTGGACAACACTTTTCAGCTTTTTCATTTCCTTGCAGAGTTGCATTATATCATATGTACCGTGAACATTTATTTTAACAGCTCTTTTCAGTTTCTCATCAAATCGAACAGTCGCAGCCATGTGAAACACAACGTCAACGTGGTCTATTAATAATTGACGATCATTACTGTTTAATCCCAAGCCAGGCTTCAAACTGTAAGTTAAAATGAAAAATATAATAAAATATAAATATAACTTGAATTTATAAAATTAATTTTCAATTTACCAATCGCCAGCAATCGCCTTTAAGTGCAAAGTATACTTTGTAGAAACTTGTTTAAGGCTTTCAAACACCTGAAATTAGTTTGGTTTAATCAATAATATAAATTATATTTAGAAACATAATATTTACCGGATCCGCAAACATTTCATCCAATCGAGCATCTACACTTTCGTTATTTTTAGTACGTACCAGCAAATATATTGTATTTAAAGCAGGGCACGATGCAAGTAGTTTGTTTATTAAGACTAAAGAAAAAACATTCAAGTGTATCTTCTTCATTAATCAATTTTACTTACTCTTTCCCAAAAATCCGGTTCCACCCGTTATAAATATATTCGATTTGTTAAAAAACTTTCGTATATTTGAGTGATCCTCATTTAATATTGTAACTGTGTTTGATTGATACATTTTCTTAGTACTACAGATGTAAGAACTCACAAAACTGATGAATTAGGTTGTAAATTTTATTAAGTATTTGTTGATTGTTATATTTGTATCTTAAGGGGACTCAGATTTTATTTAAAATATTATCCAACATACTCAATAAGTGGAATTCAAAAAGAAACCAACCGCCTCTAAGCAAGTGTTGCAACTCTCTTGCTGTGTTTTCAATCCTCAACCGCTTCGCATGTTTAACTAGCAAGTGTGAGCGACATTGTTCACAATCATTTTCCCATACTCTTAAAATTAAAATTTTAAAATGCTTTTCTTTTTTTCAATCTTAAAATTGAGACGGATCTCATATTAAATGTATATGAATATTGGGCGATGTAAAAATTGCTTACCTAGAGCGTCGTAAATTATTATAAATTTGTGTATAAAAAATTATAAGCATAAACAAAAATTGACTACAAAAATTACAAACTATGTGATAAGTATTGAGACATTCCTTCATTTAATTATTTGCATATTAGGTACCTTATAAAATAAAAGTACAGTATATCCAATTCGACTGGCCGATGTTAGAAAATATTATTTGTTTGTGTTGGTCATACTCACTACGTTTAATAATCACTTTCACTGAATGCTGCAAAAACCTGATATTGAGCTGCGATACCGGAAGGCACTGCACTGTGCTACTGTGGACAACACGTGGATGTTTCGGCATAAAACAAGAAAACTAAACTTAGATCTTTAAACTTTCTTTTTATTTTTATGACATATTTGTAGTTAGGTGGCCTTGATCTATTGAGCAATGCATGCATTTTTTGACATATGGGCGCAACCACTGTGCAATGCTAACAGCCAGAACGCAAAAAGATATACCCTTTCTAATTGGTCAGATGAAAATATAACTCTAGCATGCCATCAATTTGTACTACTGTAAACATACAGGGATCATCGAACTTCTTCGCAATCGTTTATTTGCTCTCTTTCGTATATTCCAAATAAAACAAAAAATATACATAAGATAATTACAGCATTAAACTTTAGACTTAAGATAATGTATATCTTTCATAACTCATCACGCGGGATGATCAAGTTGCTAAGTATCTTCAAACTTCATAATCTTCCAAAAATAAATATATTCATAACGTTATATTATAAATTTTAATAGGATAAATAATAATAATCATTATTGTATATATTGTATTTAACTATGTATTTTTTATTAGATTAATCATGTGGAAGGAGATGGTGATAAAAATTTTTAAAATTATAAAAAAAGATAAAAAATAAATAGCAAGTAAGAAAGCTCTAGTTGAGACTGCTCGACTACGAGATCCCCTGAACCCTTCGAGCAATAGCTATTTCAATCATTTTTCGCGTCTTTCTACTTACACATGACACACGCACACACACACACGCATACACACACATACACGCCTAAAAAGGCGGGTAATAACTTTTCTTGAGGACATACGATCTACATGAAACTTTTAGATTATGATTATAACATGAATATGCATGCATTTGCCAAAGCACAAGTCTCTAGTATTTGAAATACGCCTTTAACAAATATGTGGTTGAAGGGGTGGATATAAGGGTGGGGGTAAATTTTAATAAAAACCGAAATTGTATAAAATGCATATAAATCTGCATTCAATTTGGAGACTTTAGCATTAAAGTTGTAGGAGATATAATTTTTAACTGATTTTCGACAAGGTTTTCTATCGATAAAAAATTATCGGGAGAAGTTATCGATTTTTAAAGCAAAACTTGATATCCGCGTGGTATACACGGACATTTTACAAAAAAATTGAGGTCTCTAGTTCTTGTATCTTCTGAAATCGACGCGTTCAAGCATACTGACAGACGGACGGACGGACAGACAGACAGACGGACAGGGCTAAATCGACTCAGCTCGTCGCCCTGATCAAGAATATATATATATATTTGTGGGGTCTGCCACGTTACATACATTTCAACAAAACCATTATACCCTGATTTCCCATTGAAAATGGGTTCAGGGTATAACAAGCAAGAAAGCTCTAGTCGAGACTGCTCGACTACGAGATCCCCTGAACCCTTCGAGCAACTGATATTTCAATATTTATTCGCACATGCACACACACAGAAATACGCACGCACGCATAAACACGCATTTGCTGCAGTGGACTATCTTCATGAAAATTCCAGATTATGATTATAACATATACATGCATTTGCCAAAGCACAAGTCTCTAGTATTTGAAATACGCCTTTTATAAATGTGATGGTGAGGGGGTGAATATAGGAATGGGGGGTACATTTTGACAAAAATCGATATTCCATTAAGTACATATGGATCTACATTTTAAATTTGGCAACTCTAGCTTTAAAGATGTAGCAGATATAAATTTATTAATGGTTTTCGATAATGTTTTTAATCGATAACAAAATAACGGAGCAAGTTATGGCTTTTTGAAGCAAAACTCGATATCCGCGTGGTATACATGGACCAAGGAGAAAAAGTCTCTAGCTCTTATATCTTCTGAAATCGACGCGTTCAAACATACGGAACGAATTCCCCCACAAAGAATTGCCGTATCATACGAAAAAACCGAGGTGGAGGTATATATATTGTATAGAATAGGCCTTGGGGTTCCTGCCGAAATATTGACTGCTGTGGATGAAGCATTGGCTAAATAAACTTAGTTAAATGCGACTTTGATGTCCAGCAGTACCATTCCCGATGATATCGAATTAGCAAAATTATTATACCCTTAACCCATTTTCAGGGTATAATGGTTTTGTTGACCGTCTGTCTGTCCGTCCGTCTGTCCGTAGGTATGAACGCGTCGATTTCAGAAGATATAAGAGCTAGAGACTTCAATTTTTTTTATATGTCCGTAAATATTTTGTTAAAATTCACCCCCACCCCCTATATTCACCCGCCCACCATCACCTTTGTAAATGGCGTATTTCGAATACTAGAGACTTGTGGTTTAGCAAATGCATGCATATCCATGTTATAATCATAATCTTAAAGTTTCATGAAGATCGTCCATCGACAATAAAAGTTATTAAACAATTAAGCTCCCTTAGCCCATGCGTGTTTATGCGTGCGTGCCTATGTATGTGTGTCTGGGAGTGTGTGTGTTTCTTCTGTAAGCAGAAAAGAACCGAATAATTATTGAAATATTAGTTGCTCAAAGGGTTCAGGGAATCTCGTAGTCGAGCAGTCTTAACTAGAGCTCTCTTACTTCTTCTAATATTGAAGTTTAATTTTTGTTTCTAAATAAGTTCAATGTAGTGTAGGTATTTGGTCTACACTATGCTCTTGGTAGATTTAATTTAGGTAGATATTGATATTATGAGGACCATTCGTTTTCAAATGCATTTGAATATATATATAAATATATTCAAACGCACGAGAAACATTCTCCAATAAATGAAAAACATAACACAAAGAGCTGAAACAATTAAAGATAATTACTTTGGCAAAAAATCTAGCGTCTATATATAATTTTCGACTTATCAATTAAATAGTTGACTTTCTGACATATTTGACATTTTGTAAAAGATATTGTCCACAAGCTCATATGTATAGAATTTCATAATTGGTTATCCAGTCATTCATACAAAAAGGGGCGAAATAGCTCGTAAAAACTGGTTGTTGAACTCTTTTTCTGAAAATCTTTCAACAGATGATCTGAAATGTAAACAAAATTAAAAATATGGTCAGCGCTACTAAATAAAAAAGTACGCACCGTGCTGCATTCCTTATGTTCCTATTCGTTTCAGCAGGATTAATTATAATATTTAATATGCTAGCTGCATATTCAACCGCATCGGTGGCAAGAAATCCATTTTGCGAACCTTCAGATGTCTCAATGATATCAAATAATGGACCACCTGACTTATGAGCAATCATTATTATACCAGCTGCCATGCATTCAACGATTCCGATTCCGAAGTGCTCATTCCACATAGTATGTAAGCCAATTATAGCTTGTTTATATATATTTAAGAGGTCATCATAAGAAACATTTACTTTAAACTCGACTGAATTCTCAAGAGATAAATGCTTTGCGAGGTCTTCCATGTTATGAAGCCTTTCGTAATCTTCTTCATGCCGGCAAGATCCTACTATAACCAGTTTAATACGATTCCAGAGCGCTTCATCTTTAGCCAGCAAAGTCCTTAGCTCATACAAAACTTGTAATTGTAATGGGTGATTTTTCTCGGGTCGAAACTGCCCCACAGACACTATTATGATTTCGTCATTGTTTTCTATATGTTCTAGTTTTTTCAGGTGCTCAATCTCACATGGAGGATATACTCGATGCGTTTTTAATGGAACATTCAGCAGTTCAACAATATGGTTTTCAGTCCAAGTGGAATTCACCATAATAGTTTCGGAGCAGCAGCTTACCCACTTATATGCCTATAAATAAAATATGTCACATTACTATGTGCTCTATATTATAGATGTTATATTCATGCGTTACATTTATATTCACACGTCATCATAAATTACTTACCCTAGAAAGCAAGCGATAATAGGTGAGCTTTATCCAGGTAAGAAAAGGATTCCGAGCAACATACGCTTTATTGTTGAAAGATGATTGCCGATATTGCACTTTTCTTAGCATATCGGTACTTATTAAAGGGTAGTGAACATAGCATCCAATTCTACTACCAGCCAAGTAGCGAAAGATAGGAAACGTGTAAGCATATCCCATGGTGTCAATAAAGATATCTGGTGGAAATTTGCATATTGCTTCCAAACCTAATACAATGGAGCCCAAACTTTGCCCCAACAATGTAAAGTGAGGATACTTTCTCGCCTCAACCCATTGTCGCTGTTTAAGGTATACAAATGTAATTTGTTCAGCTTCCAACGTTATATTAAATACGTTTTTCGCCTTCTGCAGAATCGAACTGGGCGTCGCATCAATATCTCCTGTGTAAATGACTATCTTTATTTTATCATACTTGTTCTAAAGCGAAACGAAATTCTTTGTATATAAACATATATTATTCCTAAATATATATATATACCTGCAACGCCCTCACAGCGCACCACAAGACACGCTCGCCGCCACCGCCAGCGTTGCAATATGGGTGAAACAGGCCAACATTCCATTTATTATCTGACTGGGATTGTAGCTTTTTCTTCTTATTTCGAATCCATTGACGTAGACAAAACAGGAATGTAGACGCGATACCCAGCAACAATATAAAGCACCAGCATCTATTGCAAAAAAATTTTTAATTAAAACTCATTTTTTTCATAATATTTATAAAATCATACAACATTATTATCACCATGTTATAGTTTTAATATTTATTACAATATCTATTTAAAGTTTCTCGAAATAGTAGTAGAAATTTTATATTCCTAAAATTATAAAGAATTTGTCGCACTCATAATGTTCTTGTTGATTGTGTTGGTTTATGTTCTTTAAGGTAGTAATGTAAAAAATCATCGGTGTTTTATTACCAATTTTTACCGATGTTTTCGCTGATACCGATATTGAACGATGCATCGATGTTTTGCAAAACATCATCTGCGAATGCAGTTAACCCCATTTGAAAGAAACCCTTTTTCTTTCTGAGATGGTATGAAAAGTACCTATCCTAATTTATTTGAAATTGCAATCAATTTTTTTGTTGTTTTGTTTTAGTATCTTCTGTTCCTCTAAAATAATATGTAATTCTGTTTAATTTTAGTGAAATGTATAAGATATTTCTCCTATGTTAAAAATTTTAAAGTTAGGCCTTAAGCAAAATACTACTATGAAAGCTCATTTTTATTTTTATATTTATATGTTTGTCAAAAAATGTTGAATACTTTTAAGTTTTTTTTTTATTTTTATTTATTTTATTAATTTTTTTTTTAAATAATAATAACGCTATGAGAGCACCAGTAAAAAAGTAAAAAAAAAATAAATAAATAATCCGATGTATTAATCCAACATCGATGCTTGATTTTGAAAATATTTAGGGACATCGACATCGATGTTTTCCTTCAAATTTACATCAATACTTTAAGGTAACAAAAAACATCGATTTCTTCAAAAAAATCGCTTATTTGATCTGAAATATTCGATACGCTCCGATACTTTAATAATAAATACGATACTTTAGTTTTTGCCATACTATTAGGCGCTCTCCCTCACATACATCGATGTTAGCTGTAATTTGAAAAAAATTAAAAACATTGCAGGGCACCGCTGCCGATTTCTGTTTTGTTTAGAATCGGTTTCGGTCAGACGCATTGGAATGACTCATTCGTGTGACGCTCTCAAATAACAGTCCCGTAAAGACTAATAAGATTTTCGGTCACACAATGACTTTCAGCAAAAGACAGTTTGACTAAAAAACTCAAAAGAAATGATCTTTGCCTTTGTGTGCATGTAAATACATGCATACATACATACATAAAAGAACGCAACAATCGCATACATACGCAAAAGACTGTTTGTTTCATTAAACTTAAGCAAACGATCAGTGACTGACTTGAGCGAAACGAAAACAGAAATAACATTCTCGCTCAGACCGTGAGCAGACCTAGGCCAGTCGCGACAAAATCAGTTTCTGTCTGAGTCTTTTTGATTCTATCAGTGAAAGACACTTATTTGCAGACAACGAAAAGTGTCAACAGTTATTTGCGAGCTATGCTGCAGAGTAATCTGTCCTCATTTTGAGCCTTCAATCTTTAAGATTTTCGATGTCTCCGATGGGTAGTATTATTATTATATTATTATTGGTAGTATTATTACTTTTGTTTGCCATTAATTTGGTATATATCGATATTTTACATTAATATATTTCGCACAGGAGCTATCAAGTCATGATATCTTAAAAAATTAATTCAAATAAATTTTTAAAACATATTTCTGCTACGTAATTTATCGTTCATCCCCAAATTAATAAATCAAAGTTAATCATCGCTTGAAGACCTAGAACGTTTGCATATTTATCGTAAGATAAAGTTAAAAATGATGTTTTACAACACTCACATTTTGTTTTACATTTCGGGAATGCCGTTGTTGTGGATGCTTTTTCCATCACTAAATATGATTAACAATAACAGCGTAGATATGGACTACATTCGTTCTATATGGGAATGCTTAGCATCCATTTGTAATTGTTGGCATTGTACAGATGACCTTGGCAGTCAAGTGAGGTCATGAATATGTGTTCTATTATTATTATAATTAAAAACATTTTCAATAGGGCATTGAACCCAGCGAAAGGACGCATCTTCTTGCGGATTCTGTTAATCAAAGTCCAGCTTTGCGGCGAAGTAACTCAGCTGATTTAAGCAATGATTATTCTCAATCACTACCAAAGAAGGATGACCAAAATGCGTTATCAAGATTGGTGCAAAATACTGCAATGTACGTACAAAGAAATCATATATATATTATTACTTTTATTTTTGTTGTACTTTAGCAACATGATCAATGTGGGAGCCCTGGATTCTCACACCTTGGAACATCAAGAGTATTCAGATAGGATTAAATTATATTCACAGCGTCTTCAACAGCAATGGAACAACATTCAACACCCTGGCTTTGTACAAAAAGGTTTGATATCGCAATAATTTATATGTAGATGATATGAAAGTAAAAGATGATAATAAATTTTATATACAATGTCAACTTATTAAAATTAAATAATGACCGGGTCCTTGTAAGTGGATCAGAGTTATCAGCTCATTGTTTTTACATTATATTAAAAATTCACAATTTCGAAACGGTTAGAAAATATACATATTTTAATTTGTCTTCAAACTCTGTTGCATGTGTCAAGAATAGGGATATAATTAATCCATCAAATATTTTCTTCTCTTTTTTTTAGGCCTATTAAAGGACGTACCCAACCATCAATCTTATATATCAAAAGGTATTCATTTAGATGATACTGCTCAGGTTAGTAAATTTGTTTTTTTTTTATTTATTCTCTCAATACGGTAGTGTTCCACAAGGTGGCATCCTGATCCCTGCGTAGAGCTGCTTTTCTCATTATTTACATACCCACGCACGATATGCCACTTCTTTCGAGTGTGTTTAGCAGGAAAGTGTCCTGCACAAACTCAAACACTCTGACACACCATACATATTGATGGACACTTCTCCACAAGTACACAAATCGGATAAGGTATTCCCTGGGGCAGTGTTCCACAACACTATTCAAAATATTCACTAACAAAAAAATCACACCTTACATGAGCCACTATTTTACTTAATGCATAAGAAGAACTCCGACTTCACAAAAGTTCCTAGGATTCTAGCTCCCGAACTCACCCGACAAAAACACATCTTTTGCATCTCTCATAGGTACTATAAAGACAATATGCGGTAACAAGATACAGGTGCTTTGTTTAGTGAAAAGCTTCTCCATATCTCATAAAAAGTCTCCAACAACCGTAAAGGCTTCAATAATTAATGATCATCAATAATTACTGATTCTATAGTCAATTTTTGAAGTCACACTCTACTTTTTTATTTCACTTCACACAATAAATTTACGTCACGTGTTTAGAGTTCATTAGGAATCAACAGTAAACAAAACAAGAAGGCTCTAGTCGAGACTGCTCGACTAGGAGATACCCTCCAAGCTGATGTTCTAATCATTCTGCACTTCTTTTATGCACATATACATACATATGCTAACGGCGAGATAAGCAGTGACTGCGCTTGGGTTGCGCTGCAGTGTGGGCAATATTATGAGAATTTATTTGTTGAATGTTCAATGTGTGTACATTCCAAAGAACAAGTCTCTAGTAATTGAAATGCGTTTTTTACAAAGCATGGGAGCATGGTATCCAAAATCTGTAAATTACAAAATCTTTGTATCGATTAACTTTATATACAACGCAAATTTGAAGACTCCAGGTCTAAAAGTGCTCAAATTAGCTAAAAAAAACAAAATCAATTTTTCGATTATTCTCGATAAAAAAGTTATCGGATGATTTATCGAAAAAATAAAGCAAACTCGTACCGCGTTTGGTACACACGAGTATGCATGCTTTCAGCTCTCTAGCTCTTATAACTTCTGAGATCGACGCACTCATACGGACGGACGGACGGACAGAGCTAAATCGACTCCGCTCGTCGCCCTGATCAAGAATATATATACTTTATGGGGTCTGCCACGCATCCTTCTGCCTGTTACATACATTTCAACAAAACCATTATACCCCGATTTCCCATTTTCAATGGGTTCAGGGTATAAAAAATCAAGCTTGGCTCATTTTAATTAATTATCATTTATATGTCTAATCTGTGTTTATTTATTTAGGATAATACTAAACTTAAATGTAAAAACACTAGTCTAAGCCGTAACTAACACTAAGCCTTAATGTAATAACACTAATTTTTTTTATAATACTTTCAGATGCGAATATTTATACAAAAATCCGTCGCCGCTGTATTAAGTATACAAGTTGATCATAGAGAAGCGGTTGTAGTTCCGTTTGAAATCCCTTAAAAATAAATAATAACCCTTTGTGTGGTGTTAATATGTATTCTTATGTTAAACATATAATAATAACTAGATTCAACTTATAATGTTGTCGATTATAATACAATATTTTTTTATATGGGCAATTTTAAAACCACCAGCTCATGTTGAATATGTTAATAATAAAATAATAAATATTGTATGATATAAAATATTCCGTGTTTTCACTAAAGAAACCCAAGTCGAATCACAAATGCAAGTTAACACCAGTCAATGCATAGCACCTCCTTTCTTCCCTACCACCAGCTTGACACCTCTGCTTCCCAACATATCTCACGCCGAAGCCACTGACGCGACAGCGGCCGCTGCCGCTCGGCTGCTACCACGTTGACGTCGACGTCGTAAGCGCGCTAAACAGCGTTTGAAAATGCTACGCTACTCCGTAGTTTTTCGTTTTGCTCTTGCTACCGCTCTCACTTAGGACGGGAGCCGTAGCAGAGCCATAGTCGAAGGAAAAAATGTATGAGCTCTGCTCTGCTCTCGTAGTTTGTTGTGTTAAAATCTGTAGCGATAGCAATAGCACAAAACGAAATGAGCGACTACGCTTCGTCAGAGCGGTAGTTGAAAAACGAGAGCGAGATGGGAGCAGAACGAACGCAATTGATTTGTTTGCTACGGCCCTGTGACGTACTTTTGCTGCAATTCGGTTATGCTGGTTAGTAAAGCGTATTATATGTATTCATTTCTACATCATTTGTATGCATTTGTACATATGTACATATATAATATACATATGTACATATATAAAATAAAATAGGTTTAACTTTGCTTTTAAGTTTTTTATACTATTTACTTTTTTCATTTAAAATCATAACTGAATTCGACAATTAATATGTACATATATGCATACAATTCTACATGCATAAGTTTTGTTTTCCTATTTACTTTGATTTTATTTTAATTTTGACACTGAATAAAATATTATGATTTTTATAATTTCAATAACTGGTTTTATTTTTAAACTGTCACATAATTTATAATAATAATAATAAAATAATAAATAATAATAATAATTATAATATATATATATATATATTGTTTTTTCGCAATTGCAACATTTATTTAATATTGTACTAATTCAGCATCCCATTACTTTCATTAATATGCTTAATATCAACGCTCTTCACGTCTTCAAATATGACGGACCACTAGTGACGTTGAGACAGGGCAGCAGATGGAGAGTGGATGGATAATTCAGCCTGATCCACATAGTAAAACTGGATGAAATTGAAGAGGCCATCGAGGCGATGGGCAAATCCGAGTCCTGACGTTCTATTACCCGGAACAACACGCACATCTAGTGGCGATGCCGTCGGTGATCACAAACCTAACCAAAAGGGGATATCACCTCAACTTGGAACTTGTCCACGGTCTGAGCACACGGAATTTAGACCTGCTTCAAACAATGCAAAGGAAATCACTCACGCTGAAGCCACTGACGCGACAGCGGCCACTGTCGCTCGGCTGCTACGACGTCAACGTCGACGTCGTAAGCGCGCTAAATAGAGGCCGCCGCCAGACAAAGGGCAGTCCGTATTGGCAGTTGAACCAAATGAGACGATGCTCGGAATAGCAATAAATACTAAATTAAACGGATTTAAATCTAAATATTCTGATATATTTTACTCTTTTGGCTAACTGAATCTTGGAAAACTGAATCAGGAAAAGTATACCCTTGGATGTGGCCGTCACTAGAGTGATATGGCGTCACGATCCGTAACTTGCAAATATGCGTATATGTAGAGATCTAAAGTGTGTATAATATTTGTATGACTTTGTATTTTCTAATTGCATAGCTGGTCAGGTGGTGGGCGCTCATGAGTCATGAAACCCGTTCCGGTCCGCGCGAGGCATTTTGTAATTAGTATACAGCTTGACACGAAAGTGTTTTCGCATGGGAAAAACTATATTCTTGTTCTTTAACATTAAACAACAAGTAAGAAAGCTCTAGTCGACACTGCTCGGCTACGAGATCCCCTGAACCCTTCGAACAATAGCTATTTCAATTTTTCAAATTTTTCGCGTCTTTTACGCACGCACGCACACACACGCACACACTCAGCTCGCCACCCTGATCAAGAATATATATACTTTGTGGGGCCTGCCACGCCTCCTTTTGCCTGTTACATACATTTCAAGAAAGCCATTATACCCTGATTTCGCATTGAAAATGGTTTCAGGGTATAAAAATGCCTTAAAAAAGCTAAGTGTGAGATTTCAACATAGTTTTAATTACATTATATTTTTCAAGTTGTCCTGCAAAAATAATTAATAAAACTTAAACTAACTTAAAACTATTAACACTCGCTTCAATGACCGCTTCAAATCGTCTACGGATGACGTTTATTAGTTTTTGGACATATTCCACCGATATCTTCTTCCAATCATCTTATATATACAGTGGCTCACAGCTCATGTCGTGCAGCGGTATAGTAAAATTTTAAAGCCGTATTCCCGCTAAACCAGTAAGGATATTCAAAAAATCTTAATGGAATCTTATTTATCAGTTATTCATTATGTATTAACATACTTCATTGTTTTTCTGTTCTAACAAATAACATTTAAAACTAAAGAAAACTAAAATAACTGGCCTTTTCCATGTCACAGCTTATTTCGTGCACTTCACTTTCAATGATTTTATTGCCCAACAGTTCTTAAATTAGGATTTTTTATACCCTGAACCGATTTTTAATGGGAAATCAGGGTATAATGGTTTTGTGAAAAAGTATGTAACGGGCAGAAGGAGGCGTGGCAGACCCCACAAAGTGTATATATTTTTGATCAGTGCGACGAGGTGAGTTGATTTAGCCCTGTCCGTCTGTCTGTCTGCATGTCTGTCTGTCTGTCTGTCCGTCCGTCCGTCTGTCCGTCTGTCAGTATGTTTTCAGAAGAGACAAGAGCTAGAAACCTCAATTTTTTTGTAAAATGTCCGTGTATACCACGCGGATATCGAGTTTTGCTTTAAAAATCGATAACTCCTCCCGATATTTTTCTATCGATAAAAAACCTTATCGAAGATAAGTTATAAAATTATATCTCCTACAACTTTAAAGCCTAAGACTCAAAATTTTTAGTGTAGATTTATATGCAATTTATACAATTTCGGTTTTTGTTAAAATTTGACCCCTATATCCACCCTATATCCACCCCCTCATTCACATATTTGTAAAATTATTTGCTTAGGCAAATGCGTTCATATCCATGTTATAATCATAATCTGAAAGTTTCATGAAGATCGTATGTCCACAAAAAAGTTATTAACAATTAAGTTCTCATAGTAAGCGCACACTGCAGCCCATGCGTGTTTAGGCGTGGGTGCTTGCGTGCGTGTATGTGTGCATGTGTGTGTGTGTGTGCAGAAAGATGCGAAAAATTATTGAAATAGCTATTGCTCGAGCAGTCTCGAGTAGAGCTTTCTTACTTGTTTTTACCTTCTTTTGGTTTAATCACCTCTTTTAAGCGTGATTCCATCGAGAAGGGTTCAGAGGATCTCGTAGTCGAGCAGTCTCGACTGCAGCATTCTTACTTGTTTAATAAATTTCACAATGATTCACAAAGTCACATTTAATTGTAGAGTCAAAATATAAACTTGTAGCTTGTCCTGTAACCTTCCATCTTGGCACCTCTGAATATACGTAATTATAGTCTTATATCAATAATCGTAAATATATATTATAACTTTTCTTTCGCTGGCCTATCCTCAGGAAACTTTCAGATCGTGACTTTAACATGGAAATGCATGCATTTGCAAAAACATAAATCTATCTGAAATATGTACACCTTTTTCAAATTTAAGCGCTTCGGGATGTATATAGGAGTGGGGTTGAATTATAAATAAACAAGTAAGAAGGCTCCAGTCGAGACTGCTCGACTAGGAGATACCCTGAACCCTCCAAGCTGATATTCTGGTCATTCTGGTCTTCTTGTATGCACACATACATACATACACATACACTTATAAGCACGCGCTCTGCTAACTGCGCAGTAAGCAGCGACTGCGTTTGGGCTGCGCTGCAATGTGGGCAATATTATGAGAATTTATTTGTTGAATAATTTCTTTTTTAGACATACAATTCTAATGAAACTTTCAGAGCGTAATCATATGGTGAATATGTGTGTACATTCTAAAGCAAAAGTCTCTAGTACTTGAAATGCAAATTGGGGGCGAATGGGGCGTGGTATCCAAAATCTGTAAATTACAAAATCTTTGTATCCATTAACTTTATATACAACGCAAATTTGAAGTCTCCAGGTCTAAGAGTGTTCAAACAAGGCTGAAAAAACAATGTCGATTTTCGATTATTCTCGATAAAAAAGTTATCGGATGATTTATCGAAAAAATAAAGCAAAGTCGTACTGCGTATGGTACACACGAGTATGCATGCCAAATTTCAGCTCTCTAGCTTTTATAACTTCTGAGATCAACGCACTCATACGGACGAACGGACGGACAGACGGACAGGGCTATATCGACTCAGCTCGTCGTCCTGATCAAGAATGTATGTATATACTTTATGGGGTCTGCGATGATTCCTTCTGCCCGTTACATACTTTTCACAAAACCATTATACCCTGATTTCCTATTTTCAATGGGTTCAGGGTAAAAAAATAAAAATTCTATAAAATACATATAATCGATAAGGCTTTTAATCGATTAAAAAAACATGATAATTTATCGATTTTTGGAGGTAAACTAGATATCCGCGCTATATATACGGACCTTACGGACATCTAGCTCTTCTATACTTTGAGATAGGCTCGTTCAAACGTACGGAGAGACAGACGGACAGTGCTAAATCTTCTCAGATCTGAATATATCTGCCACGCTTCCTTCTGCCTGTTATAAACATTTTAACAAAACAAAAGACAAAATCCCTGATGTTGAGCTGAACTAAGACCAGAAAGAACGAAAAACCAAATGCGTATTGCTTTTTAATAAAAATTAAAATTATAGTTATTTAAATTATTTAAAAACATTATCACGATAGAGTAGGATGCTTGTCAAGAAAAAAATGGAAAGAAATTAGACAAATAGAAGATAACCAAAAAATTAA